CGCTCTATCCACTGAGCCAAACCGGTTCAGCTTGGAGGGGAATTTTTAAAGGGACTTTCCTATCCGCCAGCTCTGGCCCCTGGGGAAATGCCTCTGTGGTCCCTTAGCCTCCCTCGGACACAGGCCCCTTACGGCTCATCTCTCCTCCCTCTCCCCTTCCTTCTCCCCGTCACATGCCTGTGGTGACCTGAGCTGCAAAGGGCTTTCATTTCCTCTGGTATCTCCTTTCAAACCTCAAAGAACCCCCAAGATTTGGGGGTAACTATTATATAAAGGGACTACCCCATCTCCGTGTGTATATGGGGGGGAAGGTGCAGATACCAACAATATTTATCTCCAGGGATAGAGACATGGTAGTGGTGCCAGGAGAGGTCTCCCATTTTATGAATAGGGAGACTGGGGTCCAGAGAGGGGCCGTCAGTGGCCTGAGGCCACACAGCACATCGGCGGCAGAGCTGGGCCCAGAAACCAGGACTCTCGCCTCCCCGTGTGCCTGTCCCCGGCTCTGTGATGCTCCGCCCTGAATACTCACAGCAGCACCTTTAGGTCCAGGGAATCCCATCACACCAGCCTGACCACGGGCACCAGGGGGGCCTGGAGGTCCGGGGCGACCATCTTGTGAGAGAGGGGAAGGGGGCCGAGGGGGGAGTGATACTCACAGTGGGTCCAGTTTTGCCATCAGGACCGGGGCTGCCAGGGCTGCCAGTCAGACCCTAAGGGAGCAGAGGTGTGAGTGGTGAGGGAGAGGGTGCGGAGGGGCGGGGAGGAGGACAGTGGAGGCTGGGGAGGGGGCACTCCAGATGGCAGGTCCGTGATCCTGCTGAGAGGGGAAGGGGGCCGAGGGGGGAGTGATACTCACAGTGGGTCCAGTTTTGCCATCAGGACCGGGGCTGCCAGGGCTGCCAGTCAGACCCTAAGGGAGCAGAGGTGTGAGTGGTGAGGGAGAGGGTGCGGAGGGGCGGGGAGGAGGACAGTGGAGGCTGGGGAGGGGGCACTCCAGATGGCAGGTCCGTGATCCTGCTCCAGAGCACCGCATCCCCGAGCCAACACAGGACAGGCAGGGGCCGGGCCAGGCTGGGCAGAGGGCTGGGGTCTCACCTTGGCACCAGGCAGACCAGCTTCACCGGGGCGACCAGCTTCACCAGGAGAGCCTTTGGGGCCAGCGGGGCCAGGAGAACCGCGTTCGCCAGCGGGGCCCTGGTTGGGGGGGTCACAGGAACAATTAGGGTCTCAGGTCTAGGCCCCTTTCCCAGGGGCCAGCACCTTCTTCCCCCCAAGGAGGTGGGGGGTTTTGGGGGGCATTGTTGGAGGTGGGAAGGCCAAGGTGAGGCCGAGTGTGGAGAGAGAAGCCTGAAGCCACAGCATGGGGCACAAGGGCTGGGCAGCGTGAGTGCGTGCGTGTGCGTGTGCGTGTGCGTGTGCGTGCGTGTGTGGTGGGGGTGACTACATCTGAAAAAGGGAAGTAAAGGGCAGGGGGCAGCAGGGTCAGCCTCCAGCCACGAAGAGAGGTTACCTTGGGGCCAGCAACGCCATCTGCACCAGGGAAACCACGGCTACCAGGTCCACCCTGCAGGAGGAGAGGAGGTCCGTGAGCTCAGACAGGGGGCGCCGGGCTGGCACTGGGGACAGAGAAGGGGGCTCTTACACGCTCGCCAGGGGGTCCAGGGAGGCCGGCAGGTCCGGGTTCACCTCGGGCTCCTCGCTTTCCTTCCTCTCCAGCGGGGCCAGGGGGTCCTTGAATACCAGTGGGGCCCTGGAGACAGCAGAGAGGAGGGGACAGCCTGTAGCGAGGGGCCCTCCGGGTGCCCGCTCCCCCGCTGGCTGAGGGGGGGCCTCCCTGGATCTCCTCCCAGGCGGACGAGCTGAGCTGCAGGGGGACTTACGGGCTCTCCCTTGGCGCCAGTGTCTCCTTTGTTTCCGGGGGCACCAGGTTCACCCTGTGTGTGGGGGAAGAGAAGAGGATGAGCCATAAGATGGGGTGCTCAGTTGGCCTTGACCCCCAGACAAGGGCCACACTGGAGCCAGTGCAGAATGGGGCAGAAGTAAGAGAGTCGCACTTACGCTGTTACCCTTGGGGCCAGGGGCACCGCTGGGGCCCTGGGGTCCAGAGGGGCCTCGGGCACCAGGGAAGCCAGGAGCACCAGCAATACCAGGAGCGCCCTGTAGGGGGCAGAACAAGTTGAGTCAAGTTGAGTGAAGGGCACAGGGCAGGTGGGAGGTGGGCACCAGGGGCAGCTCTGAAACCTGCAGGACACTTACGTTGGCACCTTTAGCACCAGGCTGTCCATCAGCACCAGGGTTTCCCTGTGGCACAGAAAGAGGCGGGTGAGTGACAGTCAAGGACTCTGAGTTGGGGAGGGGCATGGGGCACCGAGGAAGCCATACTTACAGCGGGGCCAGCAGCACCAGCAGGGCCAGGGGGGCCGGGTTCACCACGCACACCCTGGGGACCTTCAGAGCCTCGGGATCCTTGGGGACCAGCTTCACCCTGGATGGGAAGACAGGACATGTCAGGAGCCACCCTGGCAGCCCAACCTCACCTTTGGAAGGTGGGGAGTGGGGGGTGGGGGTGAAGGGAAGGGACAGGAGACCAAGAGTCGGGACTCCAAGGTCAGAGAAAGGGACCCCAGGACAAAGGTGTTGGGGAGTGGACTTCTCTCTTGCCACTTTGGGTCCCTCTGGTTTGGGGAGCAAGGAGACACCTTGGCCCATGGGAGCCATGCTCAGAGGAGGGCAGGGGTCTCACCTTAGCACCAACAGCACCAGGGAATCCAGGAGGACCAGCAGGACCAGTGGGACCCTGTGAATGAAAAGGAGATGTTAGCAGAAGGAAAGTGGCAGCTGCCAGTCACACCCTGGGACAGAAGAGGTCTTGGGGTTCAGACCAACATGGCCCATCTCCAGTGTTATCCCCAAGAGCTCACACTGAGACCCTGCCCACCCCCAGGCGCTGAGGTCTAGGGGCCACACTTACAGGGGGTCCAGCAGCACCAGTAGCACCATCATTTCCACGAGCACCCTGTAGGAGAGGGAGGAAGCCTCGGTTACATCCACTGAGCATTGGCCAGTCCTTGTAGCTCCTGGGGGGCTCCTTCCAGAGCCCAGGGATCCCCCAAAGGACCAGGAGTACTTACAGCAGGGCCAGGGGCTCCAGGGCGACCTCTCTCACCAGGCAGACCACGGGGTCCCTGGCAACAAAACCAAGAAAAACCAAGTGAGATGGAGGGCACACCCATTTCCCTCAAGCTCCCATTGTGCCCCGTACACCCCGCTCCCTCTCTTCCTTCTAGAACTGGACACACTCACCATCTGACCAGGGACTCCATTTTCACCAGGGCTACCAGGCTCACCCTATAGAGCAGAGAACAGGATTAGGCATTGGTCCAGGGTGGGACTGGGCGGGAGGTGGAGGACCATGACATTCAGACAGCCTCTTACCTTGGGACCAGCGGGACCAGCATCCCCCTTGGCACGTTCCAAACCACTGAAACCCTAAGAGAGAAAGAAAGGAGGGAGCAGGTAAGACTCTGTGGAGGGGAGGGTCACCTTGACACCCACCCAGACCTGAGAAGGAGCCTCGGGAGCTCACCACAGACACTGCCCTGTCTCTGAGCTAGACTCAACCCAACTGGCCCAAGATCTCATCCAATCCCCTTCTCAGAATTTCTTTCCCAATGGGTGTAAGTTCCTTTGGATGTCTGCTCTCTGTCCCGTGGGACTTCTGTGGCTGCCTCCCACCATGACACACACCAGGGACCTTTGGGGAAGGGGTTGGAATGGTGGGATGCTGGGACTTTGGGAGCTGAGATGACTCATAGCGGACTCACTCTGTGTCCCTTCATTCCAGGGAGACCAGCTGTTCCAGGCAATCCCCGAGCACCCTGGAAGGAAAAGAAAAGAAAGGCAGGGCCATTAGAAGACCCCACCACTCTGGACACAGATCCCAATCGAAGCCCAAATACAGGAGAGCTGGGGGCTGGCCACACTGTCTTGCTCACCTGAGGTCCAGGAGGCCCACGCTCGCCAGGACGACCAGGCTTTCCAGCTTCACCCTGAGAGGGAGAGAAAAGGCCGTCATGCCCGTGTCCCTGGGCTGGAAACGTGTGGAGGGTCTGAGTCTTCTTGGGATTGTTGCAGGTCAGGCTTAGGGGCGCAGCGCTTTATCTTTGGATTTAGACTGCAATCTAAATCTACCATGAAACCCCTGTTTGGTGAATTTTAATTCCCTCCAAAGGAATTTCTGTTTATTTCTGTCACCAGCATTTTAATCTCATCAGATGGAAAGCAGACCTGCGGTGCCCAGGGCAATGAAGCTTAAGGAAGTCACTTGCCCTGAGGGGCAGGGGTGGGATTTGCTTACAGTGGAGAGAAAGGAGAAACATCCCACAAAGGGTGAAGATCATTGTGGAAGGGCAGTCCTGTGCATCAGGGTAAACATCCCCCTTTTCTCTGGGTATTACCCCCAAAGGCGGTGGGGCACTGGGTGGGGAGTATAGGGCCCTAGCTCAGAGAGGCAGTGAGGGTCAGGTGGTCTCTTCTCATGGTGGCCACTTACATCATCTCCGTTCTTGCCAGGGGGGCCAGGAGGACCACGGGGACCCATGGGACCCTGGAGGAGATAGGAAAAGAGGAGGTTACTATTACCAGGATAAGGAAAAAGGAAGGGAAAGGAGGTAAGGAAGACTCCAGATAGGAATGGAGAATCCATGTATTTGCAGAGGGAGGTGTATTTGTACACAGAGGACAAGTTGGGGAGGGGGCACTTACTGAAGCACCAGGCTCGCCAGGCTCACCAGGGGGGCCTTGGAAACCTTGGGGACCCTGGAGGACAAGGAGAGAGGGGTGGGGTTAGAAGGGCAGGTTCTGGCCAACCTTTTCCCATCTCACCAAGAGATCCCAATCCTCCCGCTAAAAGCCCAAAGGCTTAAGATGGTGTGTGAAGATACCCCGGATACTCACAGGTGAGCCAGGGGGGCCAGGGAGACCACGAGGACCAGAAGGACCCTACAGAAGAAGAAGAAAAGGAGGCGCTGATGACATCTCTGTGGGAAGGTGCAAAAGGGTGTAGTCTTGCTGTCTCCCATGGGTTCCTCTTGGGACCACCCAGTTGCCTTGCATCCTCTCTGGGCTCTGAGGTCCCAGTGGTCATCTTGACCCTCCTAGGTTATCTCTGCCACCCCCCCACCCCCATGCCATCACTGGCCCATCTTGTGTGGATCCCCATCGGCTCTTCTTCTGTCATCTCTACTCCCCCTGGTGGCTCACCATGGGACCGGGCACGGAAACTCCAGCTGATTTCTCGTCATAGCCATAAGACATCTGGGGAGCAAAGTTCTAGGGGGAAAACCAGAGAGAGCGTATGAGAAAGTGGGGCCGGGACAGTGAGTTGAAAGGCAGGAGACGGCACCAATAATGGGACAAACAGACATCATGTGCCTCCCGATGGGATGCACGAAGCAGGACAACATCACGTGTGAGATCGTCCTGCCAAAATCGCATCTGTGGAATCTGGTCATGAAGACGCAGCCGACCAACCCAAACTGAGGGACAGTTTACCAAACAAATGGGCTCTTCAGAAAAGCTCAGTGTCATGAAAGACAAAAAAGAAAAAAGAAAAAAAAAGAAGAAGTCTGAGAAATGTTCCCGATGAAAGGAAAACTAACAAGACATAACAATAAAATGCAATTCATGATCCTGGATTGGATCCTGGAAATGGAAAAAATAATGCTATAGAATAGGACATGGGTGAAATTTGAATAGGGGCGGTATATTAAGTATAGTATTGCATCAATGTTAAATTTCCAAAATGTAATCATTGTGCAAAGGCCCCCCCCCCCCCGCCAAGAAATAACCACTAATGAATTTAGGAACAAAGGGACATACTACCAGCAACTCACTCCCAAACAAACGGTCCAGAAAGAAAAAGAACCATAATTATATGTATATACAGACAGAGACTAATAAAGCGAATGGGACACACTGAGCAGGGTATATGAGAGTTCTTGGCACTATTCTGGAAGCTTTACTTTTAAGTTTGAAATTATTTCAAAATATAAAGACTGCCATCTGCCAAAACAAAACCAAAAACCGGGGGTGGGGAGGGAGGAGAGGGGCACTCGCCACTTACTCCTCCGAGGCCAGGGGGTCCAGGAGGTCCGGGAGGCCCGGGGGGGCCGGGAAGACCAGGCTGTCCAGGGATGCCATCACGGCCAGGGGGTCCTGAGGGTCCCTGGAGCGGGAGAGGGCAGGCAGGTGAGCACAGGCCAGGAGCCACGCCCACCGGCAGCCCTCCACTGCCCAAAGCGCCACGCTTCTTACCCTCGGGCCTCGGGGGCCGGTGTCTCCTTTGGGTCCCTTTGGGGTTGGGAGAGAAGAAACTGGGTTAGAGAAGGGAGGGCCATGGGGAGCCAGGGGAGGGGCGGCGCATGTCGAGGGCAGAGGATTACCTCGACTCCTGCGGTTTCTAGATCCGTAGGCGACACTAGGGGGAGAAGAAGAGCGGGTTAGAGGCAGGGTTTGCTCGGGTGCACCGGCCGCAAAGACCTCCAAGGCTTGGGCCGGGGCCGCTCCCCCGCCCTCCCCAGCCCCAGCCCCAGCCCCAGGCGCAGAGGAGCCGTACCCTCGCCGTCGGGGCAGACCGGGCAGCACTCGCCCGGGGGGGCTACGGCGCCGGGGCAGTTCTTGGTGTCCTCGCAGATCACGTCATCGCACAACACGTTGCCATTGTCGCAGACGCAGATCTGACAGACCTCGGGTTTCCATACTTCTCGGTCGTGGTACCTGATGCCGTTCTGTACGCAGGTGACTGGTGGGACTGCGGCGAGACGGGGGACGCGGGGCCGTCAGCCCCCGCCGCCGAGCTCCAGGGATCCCAGCCCTCCCCGCCGTCCCCTCCGTCTTGGAGACATATTTAGATTTTCCGTTTCCCGCCTTCCCCCTCCCCCTCCTCTCCCCAAATCCTTAAAAGCTCATAAGCTCATCTGCTCCTCATCAGCGCCAGTGACAGCGCCGAGGCGCCTCGCCAGAGCCGCTATAACTCTTTCCAGTTCTCAGGAATTTAAACAAAGCTTTAGGCGGGGGCTGCGTCCAACTCCGACCTCAGCCTATTGGTGCTGAGGCCAAGGGAAATAAAAAGCCACTGGGTTGGGGGGCGGGGAGGGGAGGGGGAGGAGAGAGGGAACAGGAGGGGCCCCATCCCGAGGGCAGGCTGGTGGGGAGGGGTCTGGATGGCGCCCGGAGGAGGAGGGGTGGGAGGAGAGACGGGAGGTCCAGCCCCTATTCCTCCCGATTCCCCAGGCAGGTGGGATGGCGTGGGCGGGGCTACGAAGATGGGGCGGGACTGGTTGGCGCGGGGTCCCGCCCAGAGACTTGAAATATACCCCCAGAGTTGGATACGCCCAAACCTCCAGCGCCCAGACGTATCCAAAACCTTCTCTCTGGGACAACCCCCGTTTCCCAAAGCCAGCCAGTGCCTCTGGGTCACCCCGCAGCCAAAGAACCAAGTCCGCAAGTAGTGATGTAGTTAACCCGGCCACCGCTCCGGCGTCTACCCAGACGGCCACTAGGTGGCGGCAGCACTAAACAATTTCCCTGGATCGGACGCTTCTTTTAGAGTCAAGGGCCACCCCGCGGCCAGCTTTATTTTCTAGGTCTAGAGGTGGGGTTCACCCTCCGCAATAACCCCCGCTTCCCGCTCCAGCTCCTGCGCGGGGAAGCGCGGGACAGGGAGGAACGGTTCTCAATCTTGATCAGCAGAGGGCGCAAGGACCCCCGCCCTGCCCAGTGCTCTCCCAAGTTTCTCATCCTCCAACCCGCCCACTCTCTGCGC